GCGGGCCGGGCTCCCCGGGACCTGCCCTGGAGCTGCACCCGCGGCTGTCCCTAACCTCTGGGCTAGGGCGGGGGACGGTGAGGGCCGGGCTTCAGGGCCCCGAGGCTGTGGTTGTGTACCCAGGGACCGGTGAGCACCAGGCTCCAGTCCGTCCACCTGCTGGGCCCTTGGCAGGGCATTTCCGGCCGGACACCCGAGTGGTGTGCCTTGCCCGGTGTCCGTGAGGACCAGACGGACCGCGGAAGCCCACTACGCCCCTCTCCCTCCCTCCTGCTCTCCGAGGGCACTGGGGGATGGGACCGACCCAGGTTGCTGGCCCAGGGGCAGAGCCCCCATCCGAATCCAGATCCAGCCCTTGGTTGGCTGTGGCTCCCATGTCTTTCCCGGGGCCCTGGGCATCGTCTGCTGCTGGACTCCTGCCCTCCTCAACCCTGTGGTGGGAGACATTTGGCCTCGGGGTGGGCGGGTGGTAGCAGATCTTGGCATCCTCTCTTCCCTGCCCTAGATTACCAGAGGAGGCTTCTGGAGGAGCCCCTGCGGCACTCCGACTTCTTCAAGGTTAAGGAGCTGTTTTCTTTGAAAAGCCTCTTCGATGCCCGTGTGCACCTGGGACATAAAGCCGGCTGTCGGCACAGGTAGCCAGGACCCCTGGCCCGATGTGTCCCAGTGGTAGTTCCCAGAGGAGAGGGCCCTGCCTTGGTCTGAGTCCCTGTGAGTCCTGACTTGTCACGAGGGGCAGTCACTTACTCTCCTGAGTGGCTCAGCATGAGGTTAGCAGCGTGTCAGATCTGCCAGTGGGGGAAGGCTCCCAGATTCAGACAGGCCAGAGAGGCTGAGGCGCTATGAGCTGCCCCATACAGTTTCCTGCAGTGCCTTCTAGGCTGTGGGCGGCAGCTGTGCCTGCTCAGATGTTTCTGTGTTGTCACTGCTGCATGGAGAATGGATTAGAGGGGTAGTGGGAAATCAGTGAAGGAGGTGATGGGACCAAAAAGGAGGCAGAACAGCAGGGGCAGAGTGAGTGGGATTAGGATGAGATGTATGGGGTGAGGCTGGGTGTCAGCAGCCACACAGCATGGGTGGAGGAGCTGGTGTAATTTGCAGACACAATAAAGATTGAGAAGAGCCCTAGGGACCTTGGGCGGAAGTGCTGGGAGATCTGACCACTCAGTGGGCAAGTCACACAGGAGTCAGTGCCTGCTGTTTATGTCATGTGTGGACATCTAGATAGGGTCAGCCCTGTTCAGATCCCCACTGGTCCAGGTGGAGGCTGGGAGGTTCAAGGGGCCGGTGGCGCAAATCTCACGAACCCTAACTGCATCTGCCACGGCGGGGTCCCTGGCAGGTTTATGGAGCCGTACATCTTCGGGAGCCGCCTGGAGCAGGACATCATCGACCTTGAGCAGACCGCCTTGCACCTCCAGCTGGCCTTGAACTTCACCGCCCACGTGGCCTACCGCAAGGGCATCATTCTGTTTGTGAGCCGTAACCGGCAGTTCTCATACCTGATCGAGAACATGGCCCGGGACTGTGGCGAGTACGCGCACACTCGCTACTTCAAGGGGGGCCTGCTGACCAATGCCCCGCTGCTCTTTGGCCCCACTGTCTGCCTGCCCGACCTCATCGTCTTCTTGCACACGCTCAACAATGTCTTCGAGCCACATGTGGCTATAAGAGACGCGGCCAAGATGAACATCCCCACGGTGGGTGTCGTGGATACCAACTGCAACCCCTGCCTCATCACCTACCCCATCCCTGGCAACGACGACTCTCCGTCATCTGTGCACCTCTTCTGCAGACTCTTCCGGGCCACCGTCATCCGGGCCAAGGAGAAGCGCAAGCAGATGGAGGCCCTGCTTCGGCTGCAGGACCCAAAGGGGGCCGAGGGGCCGCAAGATCCCCTTCCCAGGCAGCCGTGAGCTGTTCCTGCTCCCCTGCAAGGCAGCCAAGCCAGCCTGTCCTTTGCCCAGTCCGGGCCCCGTCAGCACCCTCACTCCTTAGAGGCATCGGGGATTTTGCTGTAAGGACAGCACTCAGCCCGTTGGCAGGGTACAGCCATGCTGGGGCCGAGCAGCTGGGGGCTCCTCTGCATCTTCTCCATGGCGGTCCGGCACGGAAGCAAACTCGCTGGCTGCAGTTGGGATTTGAACCCTGTACCTCAATTGCTGGAGGAGGTGTTTCTCCTCACTTTAGGGCTGGGGTGGAGCTCGGTGGTAGAGCACTGTGCCCCCCACCAAGAGTCCTTTAAAAATCTCTCACCCTCAGAAGCCCTCGCTTCTGCCTTGACATTGGAGCTTTGTTTGGAAGGGTCAGCTGCCAGCTCTTTTCTTTTCAACCAAGACGCCCTTGCTGTGCTTCTGCAGCGGCCCGATGTGGGGGCTGTTGTATGACAGCAGCAGGAGCCACAGGACAGCTGCCCGCTGGGGTGGGGCAGGCCGGCAGGACAGGTGACAGAACCGCAGCAGAAATAAAACTTGACCTGGGTACGCTGTGACTTGAGCTCTCGGTTCTTCGGCGTGGTGTTCATAACAGCGGGGCGCTGTCTCGCTGCGTCCCCTCAGCAGCATGTGTGACGGGAAGGACAGGTGCTTGCTGCCTCCCGTGCTCCTCCTTGCAGGGACATAGCTGCGGAACTGGGATGTGCTGTGGTACCATCAAGGCCCCTGTTGTTCCCAGACTTTTTAACCCCGTGCAAAACTGGCTGTCTGGGGAGGGTCTGGACAGGTGCCCTGGGGTGGTACCCGGCCGGCAGTGGGTATCTGACGTTTCCCTCAGGGGTCATTTCCAGTCCGGGCACCCAGGACTCTGCCCTCTCAATTCTCTGAGAAACAGCCCTGCCCTTTCTGCCTTCCTCACAGTGGTGCGCTGCGGGCGCCTGCAGGAAGCTGGCTCAGGTCAGGAGCAGGACTGCCCGTGTGGAGGAGAGGCCCTCGAGCTGGCTCCCGGTGGCTGTGCTCCCCAGCCCCTTGCACACGTGCTCAGCAGGTCCTTGCTGACAGCCCATAAATGTGGACGAGCAAAGCGTGGCAGTGCCAGTTGAGGCCTGGGAAGGGACTACAGACCCCAGCCCCTCCCTGAGCTTCCCGGGCTCAGACCCCGCCAGGCTCCCTGGCAGGTCCCATGACCTGGGATGGGCGGGACCAGGCTGCAGATGGCTTTTAGACTGGGGGGCACAGACAGGCCAGGACTTGGGGAGAGCTGGGCTGCAGGGCTGGAGCTGGTTGGAGAGTGGGCAGGTCCGTGGGGGCGGAAGGAACGGGACGACCCAGCCAGGGCCCAGCTGTGGGGTCACGGCAGGCTGAGAAGGGCGGGAGGCCCGGTGGGCGTGGGGATCGGCCGTGCGCGTGTCCAGCGATGGGAACGAAGACCTGTGGGCCGCGGTTCCTGGATGGCCCCGTGTTCCCAACCAGCCTGCACCTGGCTGCGGACTTGGCCTTGCCCCTGGCTTGACCCTGCAGTGTCCATGGACTTCCCAGGCCCAGCGGGGACTGGTGGCCACGTGTAGGATAGCCATTCTGGGACTTGAGTTGTGGGGACAGAGAGTGTGTAAGCCTGCCTGGTCTCCTGGCGGGGCTCTGTGCATCCCCAGGGCTGCTCTTGGCTCTGCTGGGCGGTGGACTGCGCACGGGGCCACCCTGCATAATGAGGGCCCCGTGGGTCATTTCACCCTGCACGAAGAGCGGCCAGGCCAGTGTTGGCGGTGAAGGGCCGTGCATGTGGAGGCAGACAGCCGTATACATGGTTCTGGCGGAACAGGGAAGCACTGGCATGGCAAGGGGCCCCCCTTTTTTCCAGTTTTTTGAGGCAGAGTCTCATGCAATTCAGGCTGTCCTCAAGCTCACAGCAGTCCTGCCTCAGCCTCCGAGTGCTGGGCCATTTCAGGGGCCCACCAGCCATGCCCCTAGAGTGAGAGGCACAGAGCCCAGGCCACACCTGCCACCCCCCCCGGGTCCTCCCCGTGACCCAATCTGGCTCAGTGCCCTGGGTGGGATGGACGCCCACAGCAGGTAGGACAGGATGAAAACACAGAGCCTGGGCCTCGCTCGGCTGAGAGCGGCGAGGATGAGGCTGCTGCCCAGCCTGGCCCTGGCCCTGGCCCTGGTCCTGGCCGCAGGGATCCAGTTGCAGGAGCACCCCACCAAGGAGTCCCAGAACCTCAACTGGGACAAGGTGAGCCATTGGGCACTGAAACCCAGCCAGATGCAGGGCTGCGAAGGGCCAGGATGCCACGGGCAGGGCTGGCAGGTGTGTCCAGCGGGAGGGCAGGGCAGGGGGTCCGGCCAGTCCAGGGCTGCTGCCTGGGCTCTGTCCCCATGGTCCCCACACAGGGAGCCCAGGAGGTGCAGGGCAAAGGGGCTGA